TGAGCATTAAAATAAAGATTGTGATGGATTATAATAATTGAATAAAATAAAAACCCAAAATCAATACTGGTATAAATAAATAAAGCGCAGTGGCTCCTGCCTGTGCAAATCCCACAGTTTTGGAGGATTCGTTGAGCCCAGGAGTTCTACACCAGCCTGGGCAACATAGTGAGATCCCCATCTCTACAAAAAATAAAAAAAACTAGCCAGGCCTTGCGGGGTACACCTGCAGTCCTAGCTACTTGGGAGGCTGAGGAGGATCACTTGAGCCCAACAGTTCAAGGCTGCAGTGAGCTATAATGGCAGCACTGCACTCCAGCCTAGGCAACAGAGCGAGTCCCTGTCTCAATCAATCAATCAGTCAATCAATCAATCAATATTCTTTGTACTAGTCTTGACAAATTTCTGAAAGTCTGAAAATGCCAGACATATTGTCACCTCAGGGCTTTTGTGCTAGCAGTTCCCTCTGCCTGAAACGTTCTTCCCCAGTTATCCCATAACCTGCCCAGTCATCACTTAAATTTTGTCTTCTCAGTGAATCCTTTGCTGATCATCCCTGATGACATCTAAAATTACAATTCTCACTCTCCACTCCCCTTCTCTGCTTGCTTTTTTCTTTTTCTTTTTTTTTTTTTTTTTTTTTTGAGACGGAGTCTCTCTCTGTCGCCCAGGCTGGAGTACAGTGGCGCAATCTTGGCTCACTGCAAGTTCTGCCTCCCGGGTTCACTCCGTTCTCCTGCCTCAGCCTCCCGAGTAACTGGGACTACAGGTGCCCACCACCGCGCCGGTTAATTTTTTGTACTTTTTTTAGTAGAGACGGAGTTTCACCGTGGTCTCAAGCTCCTGACCTCGTGATCCGCCCGCCTCAGCCTCCCAAAGTGCTGGGATTACAGGCGTGAGCCACCGCGCCTGGCCTTTTTTTTTGTTTTTAGAGAAGAAGTCTAGCTCTGTCGCCCAGGCTGGAGTGCAGTGGTGGGATCTTGGCTCCCAGTAACCTTCACCTTCCGGGTTCCAGTTATTCTCCTGCTTCAGCCTCCCGAGTAGCTGGGACTACAGGTGCCCGCCAACACGCCCGGTTACTTTTTGTATTTTTAGTAGAGATGGGGTTTCATGATGTTGGACAGGCTGGTCTCGAACTCCTGCCCTCAGGTGATCCGCCCGCCTTGGCCTTCCAAAGTGCTGGGATTACAGGCGTGAACCACCGCGCCCTGCCCATGTTTAATTTATTTCTATAGCACCATCTAACAAATGATGTGCTTTGTATAACGTACATTGACTGTTTCCCCTAGGAGAATGTATGACTTGTAAGGGCAGAGATCATTGCCTGTTTCTTTTGGGACTATATCCCCAGGGCCCAGGACAGATGGAGGCCCACAGTATGCACCCTGTAAATATGTGCTGAAGAATAAAGGAGGTTCAGGGATCCAGACCTTTTGTGTCTGCAGGGCTTTAAGTTCTTTAAGTGGTTTCACTGCCCTGTTTTCTCTGCCTGGGTCTGTGCTGCCCCTTCTCTTTTCTTTGATTTTGCCACCCAAGGCAAGCGGAGCAGGGCAAGACCTGAAGTTTGCCTTGTGGGCCTGGAGAGCATCTATCCTGGTCTTTCCTTGGCCCAGGGTCCTGGTCCTCCTACTGCCCAACCCCCAATGCCCCAGGACTCAACCCTCCAGGAACTCCCTCTACCCAGGGCCCAGGGGCTCCCGGGAAACCAGCCTTCTTTTTGAAGAACTGAAGAGGGAGGAGCTAAGTCTTGGAAACCAGGACTGGGGAGACTTCGCAATGGGGGAAGGGAGGCTGGGACACTCTACCGGCTATGTGTATATATGTATATATGTGTATATATATGTGTACTGTATATATATGTGTACTGTATATGTGTACTATATACACATGCATGTGTATATATGTAAATGTGTATATATGTGTGTACCATATACACATGTATGTATACACATGTGTGTATACATATATACATATATGTATATATACACATGTATGTATACACATATATACATATATATACACATGTATGTATACACATATATACATATATACACACACACATATATATATATGATTATAATGGGGATTGCCGGACGCAATGGCGCACGCCTGTAATCCCAGCACTTTGGGAGGCCGAAGTGGTCAGATCACCTGATGTCCGGAGTTCCATACCAGCCCGGCCAACATAGTGAAATTCCGTCTCTACTAAAAATACAAAGATTAGCTGGGAGTGGTGGCTAACGCCTGTAATCCCAGCTACTCAAGAGGCTGAGGCAGGAGAATCGCTTGAACCCGGGAGGCAGAGGTTGCACTGAGCCGAGATCCCAGCATTGCACTCCATCCTGGGCAACAAGAGCGAGATTATAATGGGGCTAAAAAAATTCCTTATCGCCGGGCGCGGTGGCTCATGCCTGTAATTCCTGCACTTTGGGAGGCCGAGGCTGGCGGATCACGAGGTCAGGAGATTGAGACCAGCCTGACCAACATGGTGAAACCCCATCTCTACTAAAAATACAAAAATTAGCCGGGTGTGGTGGCACCGGCCTGTAATCCCAGCTACTTGGGAGCCTGAGGCAAGATAATCGCTTGAACCCGGGAGGCAGAGGTAGCAGTGAGCCGGACCGCCGCACTGCACTCCAGCCTGGACAACGCAGTGAGACCCCGACTCAAAAAACAAAAAAAAAAAAAAAAAAAGAAAGAAAGAAAAATTCGTATCACCTAAAGATCGCATAGCTATCATAACATTGTAGTGCCATGCGTTACCTTTGAGGTACACAAATACTTACCATTGTGTACAGTTGCCTGCAGTATTCAGTACAGTACCATGCTGTAGCTGTACGCGTAGCTTAGGAGCACAATAAGCTACACAGTGTAGCCTAGGTGTGTAGAAGGCTCTACCATGTAGGTTTGCATCACTACACTCTGTGATATTTGAATAATGAAATTGCCTAGCAACGCATTTCTTTGAATATATCCACACGTTAAGCAATGCATGACTGTACCTAAGACAAAGATCTGGGAGTTAACCCCTTCATGTTTTCTCTTCTCACCACCACCTCAAGGCATTGCCTAGAAGACTGCTCCAGGCCCAAATGAGCCCTCTGCCTTCATTCTCTAAATAGCAACAAGAGCGATCTTTTAATTCTATCTATCTATCTATCTATCTATCTATCTATCTATCTGTCTGTCTGTCTGTCTGTCTGTCTATCTATCTATCTATCTATCTCTGTCTAGAGTCTCGCCCAGGCTGGAGAGCAGTGGCGCAATCTTGGCTCACTGCAACCTCCCCACTCAGACGGGCACCATCACCCCTGACTAATTTTTTTTTTCTTTTTTCTTTATTTTTTTTTTCATTGAGACAGAGTCTGGGTTTGTCGCCCAGGCTGGAGTGCAGTGGCGCGATTAAGGCTCACTGCAACCTCCGCCTCCCAGGTTCAAGCGATTCTCCTGCCTCAGCCTCCGGAGTAGCTGGGATTACAGGCACACGCCATCACTCCCGTTTAATTTTTGTATTTTTAGTAGAGACGGGGTTTTGCCATGTTGGCCAGGCTGGTCTCGAACTCCTGGCCTCAAGCGATCTTCCCGCCTCAGCCTCCCAAAGTGCTGGGATTACAGGCGTGAGCCACAGCGTCCGGTCCAAAGTGATTTATTATTATTATTATCACCATTATTTTGAGACGGAGTCTTGCTCTGTTACCCAGGCTGGAGTGCAGTGGTGCGATCTCGGCTTATTGCAAACTCCACCTCCCAGGTTCAAGCGATTCTCCTGCCTCAGTCTCCCGAGTAGCTGGGATTACAGGCGTGTGCCGCCACGCCCGGCTAATTTTTGTATTTTTAGTGGACAGAGGGTTTCGCCATGATGGCAGCCTGGTCTCGAACTCCTGAAATCAGGTGATCCACCTGCCTCGGTGTACCAAAGTGCGCGGATTACAGGCATGAGCCACCGCGCCCGGTCCCAAAGTGATCTTTTAAAACATAAGTCAGAGAATATAACTTTCCTAATGAAAATCCTCCACTAGCTTCCAATTGCCCTTAGACTAAAATCCAAACCCCTTCAACACTCTCCAAGATCCTGTGGGATGGGCTACGCCTGACTCTCCAATCTGATTTCTGCCACTCTGCAGATTCCCCATCCCGGGTTCGCTGGACCTCTTTCTCCAGCTCCCACCAGCAAATAGCTCTCCTGCCTCAGAGCCCGTAGTTGCAGTTCCCTTTACCTGGACTCAAGGCTGCTGACTACGCTGGCATCAAGTATCAACTCTTCACAGAGGCGGTCTCTGACCACCCAGAGTAAAGTAGCCCTTCACTTTCAAGTCATTGCCATGACCCTTTTGTTTTGTTTTGTTTTTGTTTTGTTGTTGTTTTCTTTCCACAGCCTCATAACCATCTGAAGCTATCTTACGTTATTTTTTGCTTTCGCAGTTATTGTCTGTCTTTCCCATTGTAACGTAAGCTTCAGGAAGGCCCAGACCCAATGTACTCCTTCCAGTACTCAGCACACGGGAGGCACCCAATAAATATGGGCTGACCGAATAAATCCAGCAGCTGCGCACACAGGCATATAGATAGATGCACGTGTTTGTTTGTTTGTTTGTTGTTGTTGTTGTTGTTTTTGTTTTTTGTTTTTTTAAACAACAGTTTCCTTCTGGAGGCCACCGTTACTACTTAGAGCTAAGAAGAGAGCATTCGCAGTCACAGATACAATCCGAGGACGAGACAGAGACCCAGACCCTGGCGCAAATAAAACAGGCTGAAGGAAACGGGAGAGTCAGCTCCAGGGTGAGTTCCAGAGAGAGAGAGACCCAGATAGACCAAGACCGAGACAAAGATTCACTCAGCGAACCTAAGACCCGAGCCCACAGGTCCCGGCAGCTACCGCGGACAGAGCCAGGAGGAGGAGGCGAGCGGAGCGAGGCTTAGCGCGCCGGAAGGGAGCGGACCGTGGGGAGCCTCGCCGCCCCGCCCCGCCGCTCCGCCCCGCCCGGCTCACAAGTGGTCGCCGCAGGTGGCGCTGCGCCTGCCCGCCCGCCCTCGGGGCCGACGCGTGCGGGATCAAAGCGGCCGGGAAGGGGCGGGGAGGGGAGGTGGCAGGAACCCGGAGGTGTTAGCGAGCTTCCCAGGGGATGGCAGGAGCGTGGGAGCGCAGAGTCCCGGGAGGCGACAGAGACTCGGAGAGACGATGAGTTACCAGAGACCCGAAAGAACCAGAGGCGGAGATGCAGACGCCAAGAGACCGGAGAGACGCGGAATCAGAGATGCGGAGGAACGAGACCACCGACACCCAGAGAGACCCAGGGTAGAAGTCGCTGAAGATCTGGAAAGAACGTGAGAGATACAGAGATGGAGAAGCTAAGGGGCACTCAGAGACCCAGAAAGGAGGCTAGACAAAAAAGGCACAGACCCATAGACTTAAGAAAAGGAAGCGTGCTTCAGAGAGAACGGAAAATAATAGAGGAAGAGAGGTGGAAAGAACAAGGGATTTAGAGTAGGGGGCGGGAAGACCTGGCCCCTCCCCCGCGGGGGGCCGAGAGGACCCCCGGGGCAGGGATCCGAGCACTGTGTCCTTTCTCAGGGTCACGCCTGTGGAGGTGCGGGCGGGGGACGGAGGGAGGAGTGTGGAGGATGCAGGACCCCCAGGCTGGGAGGAGGGGAGAGTGAGGGCGTGCGGAATCAGGGTGTAGGCCTGGGGCTGCAAACTCTGCTATAGTCAAAAGGCTAAGATTTATATTTGGCAGAAATATTTGAGTGAAAAGATGCTTTTTAGATGCTACCAAATGTATTATCCTCTCTTTGGAGGGGAGAAAATAAGGCTCTTGCATTGGCCGGGAATCGAACCCGGGCCTCCCGCGTGGCAGGCGAGAATTCTACCACTGAACCACCAATGCGTGACTACTGGGGTGTGCCAGGAGACTATCTGAGTTCGTAAGAGGTTGAGGCGGACCCGGACAGGCAACTGTGTAGGCCGGGGAACTGGTCCCGAATAGTTGACGTGGGTGGAGCGCCAGGTCATCCTTCCTCTCGTCCGGATCCGGCCACCGGGCCATAAAGCCGCCCCATATGGCCAGGGGCGGCCCCACACCCGGGTGCGAACAGCCTGGGGCCCCCAGCCTCGCGTGCAGGTGAGAAAAATTCAGCCCGAGCCCAGGTTCCCAAGGAGGGGGGCAGCGGGGGCTGTTGGGGCCACACATTTGCGTTCCCATTTGGCTGAGGGACGGAGAGGGGGGATGTGCTGGGGGCCCTGATCCCAAATGGGAGCTCCCTCCTCAAGGTCTGTGCCTCTCTAGGCTCTGGCTACAGCAAGAAAGGCTCCGTTACAAAACCAAGGTGCGGAGGGCCGTTGGGAGGGCTTGGAGGAATCCCCACTGGTCTCTGACTTCACAGCTATCTTCCTTCTCGGTCTGCAACCCTGTCTTTCCGTGTCTTTATCCCTGGCAACCTGGCTGTCCCGTTCAGTTTCTGATTTATCTTCTCAGGCACTTTGTCCCGAAGCCCCCGAGTGGTCAGGCATCGTTCTGCGGAGGGTCATGTTCTTGGTTTGAGGTGGGTGTTGATCCCTTTTCTGTATCCCTTGCTTTCCCCTTAGTAAAACTGCCTGCTCCCTGCTACCCTACAGTCACCAGGGGCCTCCAGAAGCAAGCAATGCGGGCACACTTGCGTGAGGTGTCCCATCAGCCACACTCCTGAATCTCCTATGACTAGTTTTGAATCAAATACTTGTGCTGTAAGTGGAAAGACCTCTCCACTCCTACCTATGTTTCAAAGACTTGCTCCCTCTGCCTTGAAGTTCCTCCTTAGTCCAGCCATCCTCAAGGAGACCTTTTCCCGGAGCACCTATTTCACTGGGCTTCTGTAACAGCTACTTAGTGTCACGTGGTCTTTTCCATTAGCTACTGCAGGGATAAGCTGGGTCTCTCCTGCGTATCTCACTATGACTCGCCCGAGCCTAGACCAGTGCCCTGTCCGCACAGTGGGCGCGCAGATGTTCGGGGACTTGAAGGTAACTGGCTTAGACAGAACAGAGCGCCTCTCCAACCTCCTGGCAGAGCTTCGGTTGAGTCGGACGGATTCACCCAGCACACTCGGGTTGCTCCCTGTCTCGACTAGGAAGCGAACTCGGAGATGATGTATAAAATTCAGCCTGGGGGCTGTTTCAGGGTTAGTGAGGGTACAGTAAGTCTCCGACAAAGCTGCAATTCTGGAGGAACTCTGAATTTCATCCCCAAGCGAGTTCTGCCCCTAATAACCTCCTGCCTTCAGCTGGGTTCCGCCTCCTTATACAGCCTTATGGTCCGTAAACCAGCCAGTGCCCCCATTCACCCCTCACTTCCCACACTCCCAGGCCCCCACACTCCCCTCCCCCCTTCACTCCTCCTCTTTCCGGGAGCCTCGTGCCGGGTCCTAGAGGGGCAGAATCCGGGTGCCGAAGGGGGCGGGGTCGGGTCCTATCCCTCCTACCCTGGGGCCGCGGAATATAAGGCTCCAGGCGAGCAGGGACCCGGTCCACACCAGGGTCCGGAGGAGCAATGGTCACCCGGGATCGAGCTGAGAATAGGGACGGCCCCAAGGTGAGAGGCGGGAGGGGAGGGAGCAGAGGTCCCTGGTTTGGCCAGGGGACTGGGCCCCTGACGCCGTCGGTCTGGAGAGAGACTGGGGACGCAGGGGTGGAAGGGGAGCCGTGCTCCAGGACTCCAGGAGCCAGGAGCTGGAGAGGAAGCTGCAAAATATGAAGAAGGGGACAGGGGTCAGAGCCAGACCTGAGTGGGCGGCGGAAACATAGGACTAGGGGTCTAGGTAATGGGGGTCGGCACCGTGTGGCCTGGGGAGGGAGCCGGTGTCGGAGTAAAATAAGCAAGTAGAGGGCAGAGCCAAGGGAGGAGGGTGGGAACGAAAAGAGAAGAGGATAGTCTCTTGCTCTACGCTGGCTGTGAGGCGGGCGGGGTTGGCCCAAGACGGTCTTGTAGAGAAGGCCCCGGGGAGTTGGTTCCAGAGGCCCCACACTGGTGGAAGATTTTAGGAGAACCAGTGGAGAAGGTGACGGCCTGGAGGGTTTTGAGGGAGAAGAGGCGGCGCGGTCGCGCTAGGTATCTCCCTTTCTATACTCAGGGCCGCCAGCTCTGAGCCTGGCACCGTGCGGCGCACGTGCCTGCGCGCAGAGGGTTCCCAAAGTTCTCCACTGAGACAGAGAGAAACTGCACGAGACGGAGACGTAGAGAGAAAAGAGGAGGAGAGACACAGAGAGGGGAGGAGGGAGGACGAGACTGAGAGAGGAGAATGCGAAGATCCGGGGAGGCGAGCTACAGAAACTGATCTAGGGGCATTGGGAGGGGGAGCGGAGAGGGATCGAATGGGGTCGACCCTAGGCAATCTGGGGTCTTGGGGCCGGGGTGGAAGCCGGGCTCTCCCAGCGGCGGGATCCGACGCCGGCGCGGCCGCGCTGAGTCTCGGTCCGGTCGGCCCGCTCTCCTTTTCCCGCTGGTCGCAGATGCTGAAGCCGCTTGTGGAGAAGCGGCGCCGGGACCGCATCAACCGCAGCCTGGAAGAGCTGAGGCTGCTGCTGCTGGAGCGGACCCGGGACCAGGTCAGTCCCTCCGCTAGCCCCGGGTCCCCAAGCTTCCCGTTTCTGCGTCCCAGGGCTTCCCACTGGGGTGGGGACACGTGCTTGGTTTGCAACCCTGGCTCCAAGGCATCCTCACTCGAGTCCCGCCTTTGGAATTCCATCCCAGACCCCCACTCGCTCTCAGAACGCGATCTTCTTCGCCACCCCTCGGGTCTGTAAGTTTCACGCCTGGTTCTGTAAATTTCGCTCCCGGGTTCGGTCCGTTTCACCCTTTGGGTCTCTTAACTGTCCGCTTCCCCCTCCCCCATAACCAGCTTCTGATCAGCCAGCTTCTGTTCTGTCGGGTGGTTAATTTCATTCCCTGGGTTGCGGTTTCAAATCTCCTCCTCACGCGTTGGGCATTGGTTCCATCCCCTCGGATTGGACAGTTTCGTCTCGGGGTGGGCCAGGACCTCCCTTGGTCATCTCCACGCCGCATTTGGTCGCGCGTTCTGTGGGCAGTGCGCAAATGCGATCCGGGGTACCCCCAGCTCCCGCATCCGCCCCTCCCTTCTTCCCCCTGCCACTTTCCCCCTTTCTCCCCACCCCTTTCTGTCTCTGCGCCCTCCCCTCCCGTCTGTAGAACCTCCGGAACCCGAAGCTGGAGAAAGCGGAGATACTGGAGTTCGCCGTGGGCTACTTGAGGGAGCGAAGCCGGGTGGAGTCCCCGGGTACAGCGCGGGGGTGGGGCAGCGGAGGGAGGGAGGGGGGACGCCAGGAGGCTCCGGCCGGGGCAGAGCGGGCGGGCCCTGCGGTGGATGGTGGGCTTGGGGAGTGGCCGGTTCTGCTCCGAGGCGAGGTTAATAACACCCGCGCGTGTCTGTCTCTGTGTCTCCCTCATTTTCTCCCTCTCTCCGTCCATCTGGCTTCCTGTCTCTGTGCGCCTGTCCGGCCTTGGTATCTCTGCGCCCCACCCCTTCCCTCACCCCTGCTGGGCCCCTGCCCTGCCCACCTGTGCTCCCGCCGGCCGCACCCACCGCCGCGGCTCCAGGGGTTCCCCGGTCCCCAGTCCAGGACGCCGAGGCGCTCGCCAGCTGCTACTTGTCCGGTTTCCGCGAGTGTCTGCTTCGCTTGGCGGCCTTCGCGCACGACGCCAGCCCGGCCGCCCGCGCCCAGCTCTTCTCCGCGCTGCACGGCTACCTGCGCCCCAAACCGCCCCGGCCCAAGCCTGTAGAGCCGAGGCCTCCAGCGCCGCGCCCATCCCTGGACCCCGCCGCACCGGCCCTTGGCCCCGCGCTGCACCAGCGCCCCCCAGTGCACCAGGGCCCCCCTAGCCCGCGCTGCGCATGGTCCCCATCCCTCTGCTCCCCGCGCGCCGGGGATTCTGGCGCGCCGGCGCCCCTCACCGGACTGCTGCCGCCGCCACCGCCGCCTCACAGACAAGACGGGGCGCCCAAGGCCCCGCCGCCCCCGCCGCCCGCTTTCTGGAGACCTTGGCCCTGAGCCTTGGGGGGTGGTGGGGGCGGGGTCTAGGGGTGGGGTAGAGACTCCAGCCCGAGGGCAGCAGAGGGACCCGGGCGTCCGGGCGAGCAGGTGTTGGGGAGGGCGGCGGGGCGCGCGGGCTCAGCGCGCGGGTGAGATGTGGTCTATATTAGAGTATCTATATAAATATATATTTCCCTGGTTCCTGTCCCTTTTCCCTGCCCCAACTTCTTCCTTGCGTCTAGGATTGTACTCTCTCTGCCCCCCAGCCCAGTCCCAGTCCCTTCCCGAGTCCCTAGTGCATGGAATAAAGTGGTTATTAAATCCCCGTGTGTCCCCGAGCCAGGGGCCTGCCTTTATCTCGACGTCCACGCCCACTTTCCCTTCCCTTCTGTCTCCCACCCTCAGTCCTGCTCTCCATGGCCCAAGCCCCGGGGCAGACAGGTAAGTAAAGAAGAGAGCAGGGCGGGAACTGAGATCGAAATAGAAACCAGGTGGAAAAAGAGAGCGATAGGGTAGGGGGAGAAAAAAACGGATAAAAGGAAAATTTGAAATAAAATCGACTCTGGTGGGATTCGAACCCACAACCTTTGAATTGCTCTAATTCGTCACTAGAAGTCCAATGCGCTATCCATTGCGCCACAGAGCCACCTCGCGGGCGGCGGCATCTTCTAGCTTACCGGTACTAGAGTGGGAAAGGGGCAGGGCTGGGGGAGTGGGGGGCGGACATACCAGGAGCGCGCGGTTTGGATCGCAGAGGCCAAGCCAGGTAGAGGGAGCGGGCGCAAAGCATGTTAGCCAGGTGAGAGCGAGGGTGCATATAGGTCGAAAAAACAGGGAGGGAGAACAACGGAAAATGGGTGAGCGAGCGAGTGCAGAGCTCCGGCTGCCCGATTGGGGGCTGCTTCCGGCTCAGGCGCTCCCCACTCCCAGATGTAGTCCCACCCAAATAAACTAGTTTTGTTGTAAATTTCTGTGTGTTTCTGTCTCTTCTCGTTTATCTGTTCTGCCATCTGCTGCTATGCGGTCCAGAGTCTCGATGGTTCCCCATTTCCAGTCTGAAAGATATGGAAAAGGAGATGGATCAGTTTGGCACTCTTAGTTTTGCCCCATTCCCTGCTTCTAGTCTCTTAGGAGGACAACGGGGACACTGTGCTTTCACGCAGGTAGCGTGGCCGAGCGGTCTAAGGCGCTGGATTTAGGCTCCAGTCTCTTCGGAGGCGTGGGTTCGAATCCCACCGCTGCCAGGCCGGAGTTTTTCTGGTGGATCAAGCACCTGACATAATTCCGTTAGGTTCTACCTATTTACATGCAGAGAGTAATTTTATTAATTCCCCTGTTAATAGTTTCACCATCATCTTCCGTGTTTGGTCGTCCAGACAGATCATACTCCTGCATTCATCCCTCAAGCTAAGACCTGATAGTAGCTGCTGAAGCAACGTTTCCTTTCTTCATAACATCTCTATTTTAACATGTTTTCAAATGTTAGCTCAGCTTCCAAGATATTTAAATAATTTGTTGTATGTTCTCCTAACACTGTGTTATAGGACCCAATCACCTGGTAGGAAAAGCACAAATAACTGGTAGTGTCCTAGTTTCCTTTTTTTTTTTTTTTTTCGGTCGGATTCTCTTGGGTCATAGGAGTATTCCTGTGTGAAAATCAATTAACAGTATGCAACATGCTGATATTGAAGGGAAAAAAAGTTAAGGTTCCACCGAGATTTGAACTCGGATCGCTGGATTCAGAGTCCAGAGTGCTAACCATTACACCATGGAACCACCCTCTTACTGGCTCTCAAGATTATGTACATTACTGGACATTCTATTTTGCGTGTTTTCCACACCCGTCACTGAAAGAAAACGAAAATAAAACAAAATCTGCTGTTGGATATGGTAGACACCGTTATCGAGCACTTGAAATACATGAATTCAGATGCATTGCCAGCTGCTAAATATCTTCTTTTGAAGGCTTTGTACAAAAAGACAAAATTTCATTAATAATTTTAAAATGTTGATTATGTGTTAAAATAAGATTTTGATATATTAGGGTAAGTAAAATAGATCCGTCAAATTAATTTCGCTTGCTTCTTTTTATTCTTTGTAATGTGGCTACCAGAAAATTTAAATTCGATAATACAGCTCGCGTATGTCGTTTTCAAAGTATATTTATTACCCTCCACCGTCAGTTGCTGTATTTTGCGGAAACCAAGTTTCTGTTCCACTTAGTTTTAAAAGCTAGTAACTATTTTTGTTACTATTTTAAGCGAAGTGCGGTACCTTAAAAGGTAAAACAATCCGCCCGAACAGGGACTTGAACCCTGGACCCTCAGATTAAAAGTCTGATGCTCTACCGACTGAGCTATCCGGGCTCTTAGCATAAGTGTTACTCTTTCTTTATAAGAGAATTCTCTTTATGAAAATCCAGGTTTGTAGAACCGCAAGAGGATTGTGTGTACCTATGCAGAATATTTTGGCACAGATTCAGAGGCGGCGGGTGAAGCCCACCTGCTGCTGATTGAGCTTTCTCTGCCTCCCGTTCTTAGAGCCCCAGCCGAGGCTGGGACGCAGGGACTGGAGCATAGCGGAGGCTTGAACGGTGCGGCGCCGGAACTGGCCGCGCGGGGCCGCTGCGGACTATGGGCTTCTTCCTCCGAGAGGTTCTTCCCCAGTCCCACGTGGCCCAGATCCCGGACACTCGGGCTCCCGGGTCCTGCAGGCGCAGGGCGGTCCTGGAGCGGAAAGAATGCCACGCGGGGCCTTCAGACGCTGTTTGCCGGCGCTGTATTTCGCTTTCCTGACTGGCCCTACTCCAGAGCAGAGAATGAGGTCGGGCGTGCCAAAGGCTGGGGACAAAGAGGGCCAGGCGTGGGGGGATCGGTGTATGGGGTGACAGGGGAGCTGTTCCTGACCATTTGACGTGTGTTGGAATGCGTGTGCGACTCACCTGCCTGTGGCTGCAGTCACATGAGATTTATGACCACGTGCAGCTCTCCACTGTTTAGTGATTCACACGGATGATTCACACGTAGGAATGCAGGTGCCCTATGCTCATCTCCGCCTGGGAATGGGGAGGAACAGATCTTGGGGGACATTGGGGACTGGGCGGACAAGCAGTCCAGGGCATCAGTCCGGGCCGCTGACCAGGCAGAGAGCAGTGTCCCAATTATACAGGCGTCACCTCCTCCTTGTCTCCGTCTCAGCATCTGGTTCCTCCCTCCGCAGTGGAACCCAGGCTCCTGATACCCATCCGGGTGAGTCAGCCAGAGGGACCGGCTGTGTCAGAGGCAAGCAAACAAGTATTAGAGTGCAAGACTGTGGGCGGGGAGAGGGAGCCCGAGCCGCCAGCAGGGAACTTCGGAGAAAGAGAGCCCAGGAACATCCCAGACAGAGCTGGGCCCTTCCTCAGCCCTACCCTGCCCCGCAGCCCCTAGCCCTCCACCCAGAAACCCAGCCCTGTCCGGCCTGCCGCTCTCCTCCTCCAGGCCGGCTGCTCCTGCGGCCAGCGTTGCCGGGAGCATCCCTTCCTCCTTCCCATCATGGCAGTGTACCGCCTGTGTGTGACCACTGGTCCCTACCTGAGGGCCGGCACACTGGACAACATCTCTGTCACACTGGTGGGCACGTGTGGTGAAAGCCCCAAGCAGCGGCTAGATCGAATGGGCAGGGACTTCGCCCCTGGATCGGTGAGTACAAAGGAGACAGGGAAGCGCCACCTCTGAGGGGCAGGGGCCGCAGGAGTCAGGATACCGGCCCTGACCTCCTCACCTTCCCTACTGAGGTCTCTGTGTTTTCTGGAGATGAGGAACTCCATCCAGGCAGGACTGTGGAGAGGAAGGAGCGTCGGACAGGGAGTCGAGGGACTTCCCCTGGCTCCTAAACTCCTCCCATAATTGACAGTGGGCTTTGGGCAAGTCGTTTCCCCTCTCTGAGCCTGGGTTTCCTCTTATCTGGAGGGGATCTGCCTGCCTCTGCCAGCCCCAGGTGGCCTCCACAAGGGTTCCCAGCCGGCCTAGGAAGCTAGTGAAATGCAGTGCCCACTGTGCTCAGGCACTTTTTTCTTTTCTTTTCTTTTCTTTTCGAGATGGAGTTTTGCTTTTGCTGCCCAGGCTGGAGTGCAGTGGCAGGATCTCAGCTCACTGCAACCTTCGCCCTCCGGGTTTAAGTGATTCTCCTGCCTCAGCCTCCCGAGTAGCTGGGATTACAGGCGCCTGCCACCAAGCCCGACTAATTTTTTGTGTTTTTAGTAGAGATGGAGTTTCATCCGGCAGGCTGGTCTCGAACTCCTGACCTCAGGTGATCCACCTGCCTCGCCCTCCCAAAGTGTTGGGGTTACAGGCGTGAGCCACAGCGCCCGGCCAGGGGACCCTTTTTCTAATTCATACAAAAGCCCGGTGTGGGCTAGCAGCAGCTCAGGTTTGTATGCCCGAACAGGCTTAGTTGTAGATGCATCTTGCAAGGCGCAAGGACCGCCTTGGCAGTTCCCTGCCTCTCACCTGCTTGCTGTCTTGGTCCCCTCAGGTGCAGAAGTACAAGGTGCGCTGCTCGGCAGAGCTGGGTGAGCTCTTGCTGCTGCGTGTACACAAGGAGCGCTATGCTTTCTTCCGCAAGGACTCTTGGTACTGCAGCCGCATCTGTGTCACCCAACCGGATGGTACTGTATCCCACTTCCCCTGCTATCAGTGGATTGAAGGCTACTGCACCGTGGAGCTGAGGCCAGGAACAGGTGGGCCAGGGGCGAGGACTACACTGTACTGCAGGTGTCTTTTGGGATTAGGAGTGGGGTCTCACAGAGCCCCAGAGTGTAGGGAACAAGATTGAGGTCAGAAACTCTGGGCTCCCAAGTAGATGTCTTCTGAAAAAAGGGAACCTCTCAAGCCCCGAAATGCGACGGTTTTCCAGATGGTATTGACTCTTCTGGAGACTGACATAGACACACCCACTCATATAGGCGTGCACCCTTCTCTCATACACATAGGAAGCACTTTGCTTTCCACAGCCTCGCTCTGCACTTTTCCAGAGTGACTTCCTCCAGAACCCAGAGAGGAACTAATCCGCACATTGAGTCATTAGATTTTAACAGGTGGAGAAGCCCTGGCTGCTTAAAGATTTTAGCTGGAGAGGCCCTGTTCCCTCCCCTACTACTAGCTTTTCCAGTGTGGATGAAGACCCTGAGAGGTGCTGCTAAGATTCCTTGTTGAATTTCTGGATTCCATGGATGCTGGGCTTGAGCATCTTCAATTTCCAGAGCTGTCCGATCTGGAGAGGCAACAATAGGGCTGCTCTTGGTGTTGGGAGAAGGCTCAGGATGAAGGAGGGATATTCTAGGTCAAAGTGAGGCAAGTCAATATTACCCCATGGTCCATAATAAGTTTTCCACAGACCTCACTATAAACTCTCATCTGTCACCACAGCACATCCATCCATAGCTACACAAAATATATTTGTTCATCAGTCATTTACGAAGTGCATCTCATACACATGGGCCAGGCACCATGCTAGAAGCTGGGAATACAGAAAAAAAAAAAAAAAATACGACTTCTGCCCTCAAGGAGTTTATAGTCTGGAGGGGAGATACACATGCCAACAATTAGGAACGTTGTTATAATTTGGGGGTTAGGCTGTCTTGAATCCCTTCTACTGATGAATACACAAGGAACGTGGGGGCACTGCTACGTGATTCACAGGGATGTGGCTGTCGGATTGGGTTCAAGGGTCAGGGGGTTCAGGCAAGGTTTGCAGAAGATGTTGTTTGAAAAGAGACTTATGCCAAGAGTAATCTTCATTCCCCACAGCAAGAACTATTTGTCAGGACTCCCTTCCCCTCCTCCTGGATCACAGGACACGGGAGCTCCGGGCCCGACAAGAATGCTACCGGTGAGGGTGGCCTAATTTGACTTCTTTCCCCATCTTTATTCTGACCTCAGCCTTAATCAGATTGTTCCTAACTCTAACCTCATTCTCAACCTTGGG